TGTATACCATCGATAATTGACTTCTCATCTGATGAACTATTTGACTATATATCCATCTATCCTCTGGGCTGTGCGGGTGGTTTTTCGGCGATCAGCCCGAGATGGGTACATCATCTACTGCTACGGCGACTGCAACCGGAAGTTCGAGGAGGCGCTGATGGCGCAGCGGAAGACAGGTGACGGCGACAACCTGATGAAGGCCATTTGGCTGGACATGTACACCGATCAGCTGAGCGCCAGGCGGAAATGATTCCCCCGATTCTCAGCCCGGTTACCGCGATCCCGTGCTCCCACAACTAACCATCTAATCCGCTCAACGAACTCCGTTTTGTATCCGCTTCGTTGCACTTTTCCTCTCCGCCTTTTTTGTTGTTCGTTTTTTTTTTCGTTTTTTTTTGACTAATGCACGCACTAAAGACTCACAAAAAAAAAATGCTTTAAATATATAAAAAGTGTTGTGCACTCCAAAAAAAAACAGAAATGTAAAAAAGGCGAAATAAAATATATTTCAAACTGTATAGGTTCTTAGATGGCTCTCATACTGTATGGCTTTGTATGCTAGTCAATGGCTCCCCAAATACTCTTGTAATAGTTTCCCAACTGTAAAGGTTTGAAGGAGCTTTGCAAACCAAAGGGGTTTTCATCTAGAAACTCGATCTTCAGTTTTTGACTTCTATCTGCTTGGATTGATGTCCGGATGTGAAAAACTTTTTCAAAAAACTAAGAGTTTGGATCCCTAACTATTGGTTCCAGTTCTAATTTCTGTAGAAATGCTAAAACATAACCTTCATGACATAAGTCGCGGTGTAAATTTAGATTTAAACCGACACTTGACCTCGAGTTGTCAAAAACCAGAAACCACAAACGATTAAATATGAAAAAAATATAGAGAACCTATAAAATACAATGATTTTAAAACTGTAAATGCAAACTGTAAGTTTGCAATTAAAAAGTCCTTAATATCGCAGTGCCTCCCCAACTTTGTTCTCGTCAAACTTTAATAGACTCTGTGCTCCTCAAACTACTGCCTTCGTTGTTTTCAAACCCTGCCTCCTTAAACATTTGCAGCCCACCCAATTGTCCTCGCAGTGCTGACGACACCTCAAGTGTCCAATTTGTCTGGCGTCTGCAATTAAAATCCGCTGCTTGAGCACTTAATTGACCGCCCTCCCAGCCGTGTGTGTGTGTGTGTGTATTTTTTTACTAACAGACACCGCCTAACCAGCCACGCCCACCGCTCAGAGTAGATGTCATTGCCCGCTAACAGAAGTCCTGGCTAAATTAATAACCATCAAAAGAGGGGGACTCCTCGACATGTGCTTTAATCGTGTGTTTCTCTTCCCTGTTCTTCCCCCAGTTTCCCTTGAGGAATCCCAGTTCGAATCTCCACCGTTGACCCAGGAGAAGGTGCTGGAGCTAATCGAGCAGGCATATCCCAATCCCGTCTCCCCCGAGGATCTGGCCAAGTGAGTAGTTAACATATATGAGTATTTATTATTAGTCAATACAAAAATATTGCGAAAAAAGGCGTCGAACTTGGGGTTGTATCTCAATTCTGAATCCAATTTAAAAGGGGTTGTATATTATATTCTTAGTCCATGAATAATTTAATGAAGAAGAATTAGGTCTAAAAAAAAAATTGCAACTAAAGTGTATTGACTTTCTAAATTAGAGTACTAAAATCTTTCACCAATTTCCAGGGACTACGGCTGGAGTGAGCAGGATGTCCTGCTGGTGATCCAATCTCTGCAGGAGCGTGGCCTGATCAAGTCCATGGAGTACAACGCGTACACCCGCATCCACCACGAGGACAAGGAGATCAAGGTGGTCAAGCAGATGCCCACGATCGCCTCCAACAAGCAGCCCACCATCGCCATCATCACGGCCCAGTACTGCGAGAAGCTCGCCGTGGACGCGATGCTCGAGAACAAGGAGACCTTCGTCCGATATACCACAGTCGGTAGGTGGATCTTCATCAGTTTTTAATCGATAACCAATTGCCGATTTTCGATTGGCATTGCCTCGTCCCCAACTCTAACTAATCGAACCCTTGGCTAACCATCTTTTCTCTGTTTCTCTCTTTCCCTTACTGTTTTCCCCAAAAACTCAACTCTGGTGGACAAAAAAAAAAACAAAATAAAAAAACTTCACCACGCAAATTTTGCCATTACCGATTGAATTTGCATACAATTTTGCCGATTGTCTGCTTGCCTGCAATAAAAAAAAAAAAAAAAAAACATTTCACCTACTACCCCCTGAATCCGAAAATACCAACCCATGTAACAGATTCCGATCCCAATCTAACGAACTCACTCAGAAAGTCCAAAAAGAAACGAAGATTCGGTAAGCTAAACGTCCAGAACCCACATCTAAATTCTGTCGCACCCATAATTCAAGGTCGAGTTCATAGGGTTTTCCCAAAAATTATATCTAAAATTAAATAAATTTCAAAATATAACTACTAAATTCCTATAATCCTATATGAACTATTTAATTTTAAATTAACTTGTTCAATACAAGCTTATTATAACGCTCTGAAGAGTAATACTCTTTTTTAGCGATGTTTGCAGTAAAAACTCTGTGGTTGGGGGAACTCGGGGAGTTCACAACCATCGAGTGACATCTGTACTCAAATGACTTGCCATAAACTTGGCATAAACTTATGAACTTGGCCTAGAATAATTTGATTTGTTGTTACTTTCGTGTCCTTTTTGTGTCTGTGTTGTTTCGTCGGCTTTTTGTTTCATTTTATTTGGTTGTTGTTATGGTAAAGGATTGTCCTAGGATAGACATGACCTTCTATTGTACATACATGTAACCATTGTCATCAAGGCGGATTGATTAGATCCGTCACGCACCTGGTTCATAAAATGGTTAACCATTAATAATACCCATATATCTTAATTTACTGTGATGTGGGTACGAAAAAAGATTTGAGAGAAGGAGCTTAATGCAATACATTACCAAAACAGTATACAAATTTTATTTACTGAATTATTATTTTTTTTTAATTCTAAATTTTATTGTTACAAAATAATAATATAAAAGTATTTGTTTTTAAATTCTAAATTTTATTGTTACAAAATAATAATATAAAATTATTTGTTTTTAAATTATTTGATTCATTTATTGATCATCATCGCTCTTCTTTTTTTGAACCCCTCCCTATCTGGTGTACACTGAGCGTAATTCCCTGTCTCCCTGGCAACCTACTGACCACCAATTGCTCTCTATTCCGCAGGCGAATCGAACGTTTATACCCTCGGAAATATCGGGGCGCATAGGATCGTGAGCACCAAGCTCCCATCGGTGGGCAGTAACAGGGAGGCGATGACGGCCACGGGCAACACCACCACCCGGCTCTTGGGCACATTCCAGAAGGTCGACTTCGTCTTCATTGTGGGCGTGGCCGGGGGCGTGCCCCACTACACGGACTACAAGAAGCACGTGCGGCTGGGCGACGTGGTCATCTCGTATGTGGACAAGCAGCGGGCGCTGATCAGCAATAGGTAAGGATCTCGGAAGAATAGGAATACTTTTAAACTTTTTCTTTAAATATAAATAAATATTTAGTTGGACTTAATAAGCTTTATAATAGGTTAGCATTAGCTAGATTTTTAGAATCACAATTTTGATTATTTATCCCGCAGCAAGGAGAAACCGTATGTGTACTTGTACAAGAGCGGCGAGGACGTGAAGACCTACTTCCCGGTGAACGACTCGCTGCAGCAGATCGCGGAGAGCCTGCAGGCCAACATGCAGGTGAAGCGGCCGTGGGAGGACTACTTGAGCCAGGCCCAGCAGGCGCTGGCCCAGAAGACGGAGGCGGACTTCAACCGGCCGGACGCGAAGACGGACAAGCTGTTCATGAACATTGGCAACAACGAGGTGATCGAGGTGGCCCATCCCATAGCCGCCGACGAGGTGGACGGAATCACCAGGCTGCGCCTCCACCTGGGACCCATTGGATCGGGCAGGGATTTGGTGAGGAGCGACGAGCTGCGCACCCAGTTCGCCAGGAAGTACGGCCTCTTGGCCACCGATGTGGAGATGAGCAGTGTGCTGGACAGCATCATTGGCAACTGCCGGGAGAGCTTCATCCTGGTGAAGGGCATTGCCGACTACAAGGACGGCACTTCCACCCGGAAGTGGCAGAATTTCGCGGCCATTTCGGCGGCGTCGGTGGTCAAGTCGGTCATCTGTGGAATGGACGCGCCCACGAATGTGTAGGGGATCCGATCCCGATCTCCTCCATTCCCCCACCCGCAATCCTAGCATTTGATTTGTCCTTTTTTTCTGGGGGCTGGGCTTTGGGACCACCCTTCGTAAAACCAAAATGTGCATAGATTGCATCGTATATAATGTATGTTCGCGTAATATTGTATTAAATGATTTCTTGTTATTTATTTTGTTATAACTTTTGTACTACAACCAATCTAATTTACACACAAACACATGACGTATATAAACACATATATACAACAGTAAATAAATATCGCAACTAAGCTTGCAAAAACTAAATTAACTAAAAGTATGTTTTTATCTTCATTTCAGTATAGTACATATAAGAATTTAACCAAAGATGATTATTCCAAAATAAAAAATTCAGGATAGTATAAGAACCCAAGTGGACTTTTAAAAATAGGCGTTCAATGCAATGCAGTTTTACAGCAAGAAAGGATTATGAAATGTAGCTAGCTCTTCAAAAGCTTGGTAAAAGGATTATCAATTAAAGTGATAATTACTGTTTTTTTTTTTTTAATTTCCGAAAGAACCAGAAATTTTCTTTAAGGGGCAACAGAAAATACAACTATTTTGAAATCATTATAAAGGTGCCCAAAAGTATGCAGTGTAAAACGAATCCATCGGCATTCCACGATATTATAAATATGGTAGGTGTATTCGCTAAGTGACAGTGTGGCAACGCTATATCAAGCACGAAACGGGGTCTTTTGCGAATTTTCGTGTCACGCTCACATCTCTACGAAGCAACTACAACAAAAAAAAGATTTAATTTTTTTTTAGGAGCAGAGCAGAGCGTTTGGTTTTTTGATAGCAGCGTTGCGTTTACACCTGTGTGGCCTTCAGTCGCTCGCACCGCGCACCTTGCACCTCGCACCCCTCCTCCCCAATCCCCAAAAGCCCAGGCAGCAACTGCGGCGCACTTGTTTTCCTTTGTGTGCCTGCAAATCTGCTCTGCCCGTTTGCCTGGCCCAAAACCCAAAAAAAACAACACCGAAAGCAAAGTGGTGCTCCGCTGCCAATCCGCTTCCAAGTGGCCAAAATGCTGTGGACGGTGCACCTGGACGGTGGGCCGCAGCGGGTCAATCACGCGGCAGTGGGCGTGGGCGACTTCATCTACAGCTTTGGCGGCTACTGCACTGGCTACGACTACCGCTACAACGAGCCCATCGACGTGCACGTCCTGAATGCGCACACAATGCGCTGGACGCTGGTGCCGCAGCAGCTGGACGCGGCGGGAGTGCCGCTCAAGTATCCGCTGGTGCCCTTCCAGCGCTACGGCCACACGGTGGTGGCCCACAAGGATCGCATCTACATCTGGGGCGGACGCAACGACGAGAACCTCTGCAACGCCCTCTACTGCTTCGATCCCAAGACGGCGCAGTGGTCCCGCCCCCCGGTCACTGGCTGCCTGCCCGGCGCTCGCGATGGCCACTCGGCCTGCGTCATTGGCAACAGCATGTTCATCTTCGGCGGCTTCGTCGACGAGATCAACGAGTTCAGCAGCGATGTGCACTCGCTCAATCTGGACACAATGGAGTGGCGCTACGTGCAGACCTTCGGGGTGCCGCCCAGCTACAGGGACTTCCATGCGGCGGTGGCCTACGAGCAGGAGCGCATGTACATCTTCGGCGGCCGGGGGGACAAGCACAGTCCGTACCACAGCCAGGAGGAGACCTACTGCCACGAGATCGTCTACCTGGACATGAAGACCAAGGTCTGGCACCGGCCATTCACGGCCGGCAAGGTGCCCGTGGGCCGGCGCAGCCACAGCATGTTCGTCTACAACAAACTGATCTACGTCTTCGGGGGCTACAACGGCCTGCTGGACCAGCATTTCAACGATCTGTATACCTTCGATCCGCGCACCAAGCTGTGGAACCTCATACGGGCCAACGGCAAGGCGCCGACGGCGCGGCGAAGGCAATGCGCCATTGTGATGGCCACCAGGATGTTCCTGTTCGGCGGCACCAGTCCGAGGAGTGGTGCCACCGCCAGTGGCTCGCCGGTAGCTGTCTCGCCCACCAATCAGGAGGCAACTGCTGCCGGCGGTGCTCCTGCGGGCGTGGCGCTCATCGACTACAGCGATCTGCATGTGCTGGACTTTGAGCCCACCCTGAAGACGCTGGCCACCATGGTGGTGCTCAAGCATCAGCTGGACATCTCGGGGCTGCCCCGGAGCTTCCGCTCTGATCTGCAGATGCTCACGCAGCCGAACAGTATTAGCCGGCCCATCAACCAAGCCGGCTAGCATCCAAAAACCATAAAACCCAAAAGGATAAGAGCCTAAGTCGACTGCCACAAAACAAATTGGGGGCGGAGAGGAGAAGCACGGATCATTGCGGAGCCACTAGTCCGGTTCCTGGAACTTGAAAACAATGGAGGAGCAAGCTCGAAATACGTTTACGAGAGAGATGGCAAAAGAGTAGAATGAATGAAAGAAAGAAAGAGAGAGAAGCCCCAGTAATTACAAAAGTTTTAGAAACTTGCTTTTGGTACTTCTGATAGCTGCTAAATAATACACAATAATATTGATACTTGCGAATGATATTATGATAGAGATGTAGTTTGTAAAACGTTTATAAATGTCCTTAAATAAAAACTCCATTACTTTATTTGTCAAAGGGCCATTTGCTTTTGCCCAACTTATGATTAATCATTTTGTTAATAAATTATTACATTTGATTCAATGTTTATTTCAAAACTGGAAAGACGTAAAGGCAAAAGTACAATTGATATTGTTTAACTACAAAGTTAGTCCAAAAAATTTTCAAATTTGCACGTATCGCTAGTTGAAATGTTTATTTTTTCATTATGACTTAGGTGGTATTTCTCCTTTGTTAACTTTTACAATTTTCGACCCCCAAGGTAGTAATCCCACCTTGAACCTAAGAAACCCAATGTTACAGTCAAAAATACCCAAATTTCTAAAGATTTAAGGCTAAGAAAGTTGCAAAAACTAGCATGAAGGAATTATTGGTGTGGCTTGTGGCTTAGTGTGCTTATCCCCTTGAATGTAGAGTTACAGCCAGGAAGCAGTCAGCCAAACATTTGAAATCAATAGCCTAACACGCAATGCCAGTAAAAGTAAGGCCAGCAGCTCCGTAATTGGCTATTGTGAGTGGTGGTCGGATCGCAAGGCCTCGGGCAGTGCCTCCAGGGGCGGAACACATCGTATGTATGGGATATATATGCTATATAGACGCATTATCCCACGGCGCTCGTATAGCCGCGCACTGTTAAGTACCCATTGATGATGTCCGAGGGCATGTGCTGCATGGAGGCGTACTCATCGGCATTGGCGAACCTCAGCTTGGTGTGCGGATCGGCATATGGAGCGGGCAGACCGCTGATGTCCGAATATTTCTTGGCCGGAACCAACGAGGGCGGTGCATTGAGCGTGAAGTCTGGGAAAAACGAATAGCAAACATGTAGGGTAAAAAGCCCTTGGAAAATGTTTGTTCCTGGTACTCACAGGTGGGTCTTCCGGCGGGCAGCTTTAGATTCCGCTCCATATTGCTTATCTGCCGTAGTGGGCGGTACACACAGTTCTTGGGAAAGGCAAACGGGCGCTTAAATGATCGTTTGGGTTTCGCATCCATTTTTTCAATTGAGATGGTAAAATCAGCTGACCGTGCTAGAGATGACAACGCCTGTTATCGATTGTAAATTCAAGCTTTGAAAACATAGAATTACTGTGCATAGCATTTTGGTCTCACTCCAGATCGGAATCCTTCATTTTGAACATGCGTGATTGTTGTAAAAGAAAGCGGTTATTTATGATAAATATAAATAAATAAATATAAACATCCAGACACCAAAACACCACCTTGGATGTCCAATCAACCGTGGAACCCCGATCTGCTAAAAAATTATGGCCGGAGACAGCGCCAACAATTATTTATTCAAATATATTGAAATTTGCATTTGATGTTTTTTATGTTTAGCACTAAAATAAGCTATCATTAGTATGGTTTATTAAATTAATCATAACATTTTTACGTTCGTTGAATTCAACTTAGGCGCGCCCGCAAACAATTTGGCGATAGCAAGCTTCGAAGCTCATCGATAAAAAATTGAGCTCCATCTGGTAGCACTGGTAAAAATAACGGATTTTTTTTAAGCGGTATCTGGTAACACTACAAAAAAGCCTAATGGGAAGGCCAAAAACTTATTAATAATAGTTATAAATTTCCGTCGTCGCGTGCCTGTGTTTTTTTCGTATTTGACAATAATTATAGTTCGCAAATCGCGCGTACAGGCGATTGGCCATTTTGCCAGTCACACAGAGTCGCGAACACATTGACTAGTTAAATGAACATTAATTTACTTTTTTGTCCAGTGCACTCCACACGTATTTACGTAGGTTAATTTTGCTGGAATTCGTTAACGAATTATGCGCGCTTTAATCGCATCTGGTGGTTAAGTTAAATAGTTCAAAAGGAAAACCCTGAGAAAATGATGTAAAGGAAAACTCTCAAGTAGTCCAACTGTGTGTGTGTGCGTGTGTGTTGGTGTGTGGAAATTAACGTAGTGTGAAGAAGAAGAAAAGCTAAGGAAAAGCGACAATTGCAGTCCAAGGCGAACAACAAAAGCAACTGAAGGTTGCCCAAGTCAGCACGCCCCCTCCGCCCCCCGCCCTCTTGGAGGACAAGAAACGGGAGTGCAGTAAGTTAACCCCTTCTCCTCCCCACGCCCCTGTCCCCACAGAAAACAACCCCCGCCCACCCCCTCCAATTGGACTTCTGTAAACAAAAACAACGCATCAGCAATCAACACAAACAAAAAGCGACTTTGGCTGTTGTTGTTCTGCAAAGCGGAAGCGGAGGAAGTTGAATCATCAAGCGGAACTTGTTTCCCCAGCTCCATTTATTGTTGCTGCTTTTATGGAGCATACAAATTTGAAATTCGAAGCATACAAAGTCCAATAAGAGTCGCAGCCATAGTGCCTGCGATTCCAATACGAATCCCAGTTTATCATCGGGCAATGTAAACAAAGTATTTTGCGCCACGCGGAAAAAGGCACGGTGAACCCTCGCTGGGGTCACCGAAAGGGGGTCTGACTACGCCAGTGGGTCACCCAGAAATGACTATGATTTATTGCGGTCATAATTCACTGAAAGCTACATTGATAGAATCCGATCATTAATTACCATTTTATTATAGATCTCATATAATACAAATGTAATATGTTAAAACTAGATTTTATTAACTATTTAATATTCCATAAAAATTTATTTCAGTCCTTGTATTTTCAAAATAGTTTTTTTAGTCTTAAAAGTATTTTGCAAATTTAAAATCTGAATTTAATTCAACATTATTAAAGTGTTCTTATATTTTTTTATAAAAAGTCTAGTTAAAAATTAACGCATTTAAGGCATGGTGTATAACAAAGGTTCTTAAATTCTTAGCGGCCTTCACTAGATGCTATACCAAACCGGTTTTTTAAAGTCCAATTTTTCGATTTACCACTTACTCGCGTAAAAAAGGATCCATGATTTCTGCTAGCCATGGGAATCACACAACTACTTGTGCCACTTATCGAGTCTCCCCTCGAAAGTCCCATTGACTTTGCCCCCGACTGGAGATAACTGAAAAATATTAATTAATATGGGATTGGGAGCAGCCCCTACTGGTATCCACTGTGGCCTTATCTTATCTGTCCTGCAAGTCGCAGTCCCATACCCGCCATGCCCAAGAATTAACCACTCAACCCGGGTCTTTGGCTGTCTCTTGCAGAGGAAACGGCGTCGCCATGGAGGAGAAGCGCATCGCCGACTACTTTGTGGTGGCCGGAATGCCGGAGCATCCGCAGCTGCTGCAGGAGAACATCTTCAACGACTCGGGAAGATTGCGGGCGGCCAGCACCATCGAGCCGATCACGGACATCGGTGTCTATTTCCCGCTGCTCGGCGAGGAGGTTCCCGAGGGATACGAGCTCCTCTCGCACACGCCCACGGGTCTGCAGGCGAACCTCAACCACGGATCGGTCCGCACCACCGACTGCTACATCTACTTCCGGCGGGGCAAGGACCGCCCGCCACTGGTGGACATAGGTGGGTGACCACCTCAGAGACGAGGTCTGACCGCTAGAGTATCCGTCTCCTCCTGCAAATTGAGCTCTTATCGGGGTTTATGACCATCGTAAACTATTTTATATTTTCTTGTGTTTAAGAGCAAAGGTGGGTGTGAATCGCAGGAAGTAGCTAATTCCAGTCAAAGTAGGGGGTGTCCCATAAATGCCAGTTAGTATTCGTGCCAATTGGTCCGAAGAAGTCGAAAATATCTCTCGGCCTCTCAGAATTTAAATCTTGAAACGTTTTTAAACATAATTATTATCAGCATTTTTAAGAATTTTATTTCTTTTGTATATTTATTTACTGACAGACTGATAACATTTGGTAAATAAACAAAATATATTTCCTGGAAATCAATCTGAGCAAATCTGAATTCATTACTTCGTATATCTGCAAAACTGGAAAAATGCATATAAGAAATGATGACTAAGGCCTTATAAATGACACTTTTTTCAGGTTTATGTCATTACTTTGCAATGACAAAACCAAAAGAAGATTTCTTAATTTAAATGAGGAAATGGGAATCTAAATTTTTTATCAATGAAGAAGTCGTTTGTTTGAAAAACTCTAATCATATGTTGCAACTTCCGTTGATTTTTTTCTGAAAACTAATATTTGTTTGGAGTAGATTCCATCAATCAAAGGAAAGCTCTGTTGGTTTTCTTGATATCAGAAGTAAACTTTAATGTTGTTAATCTCGTCGCTACTCGTGATAATGTCAACGAACAGATATTTATTTAAATCAAATATGAGCGATTACTTTCGTTAACTCATTTCTTCATTTGACAGAGGCAGCCACTAAAGTTTTTAGTTTAGTAGGGCATATATGATTATATACACAGAATTGAAATAAAACTGAATTGCAGGCAGGGTTATTAACCTATTCAATTTCAAGGTTTATATATTAATCCGACTCTTCTCTTGCAGGTGTGCTGTACGATGGCCACGAGCGGATCATGTCCGATGCGGAGATCGTGGCGGAGACGCCCGAGGGTCGGGTGGCCAACGTGAACAACTCGTCGGCCAAGACGTTCCTCACGTACCGCCGTGCGCGGGCGGACATGCCCTGCAACGAGCTGGTGGTCACCGAACTGTGCGTCATCGTCCAGAGCAAGGGCGAGCGGGCTCCGCACGCCTTCTGCCTGATCTACAAGCCCCTGAACAAGGGCTTCGTGGGCAGCGACGTGTTCCTGTGCTACAAGAAGTCCATGTACCGGCCGAAGCACATCAGCTACAAGCCGGAGATCCTGCTGCGCTACCCCACCGTCGACCACACCGACTTCCCGCTGAACCTGTGTCCGAGTGTGCCGCTCTTCTGCCTGCCGATGGGCGCCTCCCTGGAGGCCTGGCCCCACGTCAATGGGGCGGAGAAGCGCAAGCCCATCAGTCCGGTGTTCAGCACCTTTGTGCTGACGGTCAACGATGGCACCTATAAGGTTTACGGATCCGCTTTGACTTTCTACGAGGACTATGAGTAGGTGGCCACTGCACTGATTGTTTGTGGAAATTAATGCATCTATGAACTACTCTTTTTAGTGAGTCACAGTTGTCGGCGGAGCAGAAGGAGCTGCTCGGTTGGAACGAGGAGTTCGGCGGCCAGCACTCGCTGCACATGATCAAGGCCATTTGCCTGCTGTCGCACCATCCCTTCGGTGACACCTTCGACAAGTGGCTCAAGTATCTCCATGTGAGTTTGTTTACCCCTCCATTTCGGTCTGATCAGTATGATCCCAATGTGAACCACTCTCTTTCCAGCGCATGGTGTTGTATGGCGTCAATATTCCCATTCCCGTGGAACGCTACATCACCCAGCTGCTGGACGAGGTCCCATTTCCGGCGCCCAGCATCCACCTGCAGCTGTCCAGCGAGTCCAACGATCGCATCCTGCTCACCCAGCCGGAGGATTCGCCGCTGCCGCGAAGTGGCGCCGGCTTCCACATGCTGCTCCAGAACCTGGGCACCGACAACTGTCTGCATGTGCTGCTGCTGGCCCTCACCGAACAGAAGATACTCATCCACTCACTCAGGTTGCTATCCCAAATGATTCCCTTCTCGAAACCCCTTCAATGTGCTTGATGTAATCTCCTCCGTAGACCTGCCACGTTGACTGCTGTGGCCGAGGCCATTGTGTCCCTGCTGTTCCCCTTCAAGTGGCAGTGTCCGTACATCCCGCTCTGTCCACTGGGATTGGCGGAGGTGCTGCATGCCCCGTTGCCCTACCTGATTGGCGTGGACTCGCGCTTCTTCGATCTGTACGAGCCGCCCACGGATGTCACCTGCATTGATCTGGACACCAACAACATAAGCGTGAGTTTGGGGCTAACCTTTATGATTGCAAATCGCTTAAATACCTTGCATTTTGCAGTTGTGCGAATCGCAGCGCCACTTGTCGCCCAAACTGCTGCCAAAACGGGCAGCCCGCCTGCTCCGCCAGACGCTCACCGAACTGGAGAACGCCAAGCCCATCAGCTATGACTCCACGAACAGTCTGGACCGCGACATCCGGAAGCGGAAGCGGGAGCTGGTGCTGGAGCAGCGCATCCAGGAGGCCTTTCTGCTCTTCATGGCCAGCATTTTGCGCGGCTACAGGGACTTCCTGGTGCCCATTTCCAAAGCGCCCTCCGTGGGAGCCACCGATCCGAGTGCCCTCTTCCAGCTGAAGGCCTTCTTGCGGTCGCGCGATAAGGTAAGGCATAGCTAGGAACTAGGGTTGTAGATCTAGTAGATCCTTAGGAGCATCTTAAAGTCGAAGTGATTGAATTGAATTATAATTTTAATTAAATTTAATGAAGGTTAGGAGCAACTAGAAACGCTAGTTGTATCAACAGATAAGTTAGTTGATTGTTAAAAGCTAAAACAGCACATAACAGTTATAAGATTTATAAAAATCAAAGACTTTAAGTAGTTTACAAGGAAGTGGAGGTATTATATAGATATATATCTGATATATAATATAACACCAACCATTGATATTAACAGAACAGTATATATCTGTCTAGTGTACGAATTTCAGTTTAAAATTAAATAGCTAAACAATAGAAGCAAGTAAAAGTCAGTAATTGCATTTCAGAATTTAAATTAAATTATACTAAGGTAAGGGATAAGTAGAAACTAGAGCTGTATAAAAGATTTATTGATCGTTAAGACGAAGGGATTGATAATGATATTTTAAAAACTCAACATTGGCATGTAAGATTCTAAATGAGCATTAACTTTCCGCCGAAAAACAGTCGCACCAGAAGTTCTTCGAGCTGATGATGAAGACCCAGATGTTCATCCGGTTCATTGAGGAGCGCTCCTTCGTCTCCGACGGCGACCATGGCCTCAGCTTCTTTGACGAGTGTGCGGAAAAGGTGGGCAACTACGACGAGACGCCCGCCCAGCTGCATTTGGTGGACTGGGACACGGGCCAGAACAGTGAGCGCACCAAGTACATCTTTCCGCCGGACAGCGTGACGCCGGCAGGCGGAGGAGGAGGTGGATCCGGAGGAGCAGGAGCAGGAAGTGGAGCCGGACTGGCCTACAACTATGAGAACTTTACGCTGCAGCCGGAGCTGCTGCAGAGCACCAAGAAGACAGCGCTGTCGAAGTTCCTGCAGCTGCAGCTGAACGCCTCGCTCTCGCCGGGATCGCCGATTGCGCGGCGCACCAAGCACGAGATCAAGCTGTCGCAGAAGATGGCCAGCCGGTGCCAGCAGCATCCGGAGGCGTGGTCCAAGTACCTGCTGGCCACCTGCTACTCGCTGTACTTCCTCATCCTGCCCTCGATGGTGCTGGACCCGCGGCACGCGGGCAAGGAGCCGGACATCCTGCGCGCCGCCTACGACGTCCTGGTGCGGGCCAGTCGCCTGAAGATCACCTGCGACGAGTTCTGCTACCGCATCATGATGCAGCTGTGCGGCATCCACAATCTGCCGGTGCTGGCCGTCCGTCTGCACTACCTGATGAAGCGCTCGGGCGTCCAGGCCAACGCCCTGACCTATGGCTTCTACAACCGCTGCGTGCTGGAGTCCCAGTGGCCCAGCGACAGCACCACACTCAGCCAGATCCGCTGGAACCGCATCAAGAACGTGGTGCTGGGGGCGGCCCAGTTCCGACGCGCCGGCCGGCAGCGGGCCGCCTCCAAGGTGAACAAGTCGCTGAGCGCCTCGCAGGATCAGAACCTCAGCACACTGGAGACGGTGGACGGGCAGTCGCGCACCAGTCTGGCCTCCTCCACCGGCGATGGCGGCGGCCATGGGCTGCTCGACTTCGCCGCCTTCGACCGGCTGCGCTACAAGCTGGGCAGCATTGTCCGCCAGACGGTCACGGGCGGCAGCAGCGAGGCCAACGACGAGGGCGTGGCCAACAGCGCCGCCGGACTGCTTATCCCCGGCGAGCGGAGTGCCCCCAACACGCCCACCTATGGCGGCGACACCGAGATCCTGGCCAAGGCCCTCCAGCAGCAGCAGCCGCGCAAGCAGATCATGAGCATAGGCGGCGGCGACGACGACGAGGACGAGGATGAGGAGGAGGAGGAGGACGATGACGAGTACACGGCCGGATCGCCGAGCACGCCGCAAAAGCAATTGGAGGCGGGCGCCGATGGGCTGGCATACACCGGCGGTGCTGGTGGCGACTACGAGGCGGACGAGGAGGACGACGAGGACGAGGACGAGGTCGACGAGCATGTGGCCGCCCAGCGGGCACGGCAGCGGGTGCAGAGTCCAACCAAGTGAGTTTCCAAATGCTTGCAATCATCCATTTCTGTGAAGCAGTACGATAATCATTATAAGTTCTAATTTGAAAATCGCCAAATAATGATTATAATATATTGTTTTTTTTTTTTTTTGTTTTATATATATACTCTTGAAGAACATTTATTATTAAAAAAAAATTATTTTACTAATTACTCAAAAATATTTATTAATATTAAAGCATTTTTTTAAAATGTAAAAGTGATTGGCTATTTTTTATTAAAATAAGTTAATAATTTTTAATCGTTATTTGCAGACCTTGCTTTAAATTCAAATCTTGTTTTATTGATATTTAAATAATACTCTTCCCTTTCCGCACTCCCCAGAATCTCGCCACGCACGCCCGTGACCCAGAACGATCCGCTGGGCGCCTTGAACGAGGAGGAGTCCGTCGCCAGTGCCACGCCCACGCAGCAGGAGCAGCAGCAGCAGCTGCAGCAGTCGCAGATCGACAGCAACATATACAGCGACAAGCCGATCCTGTTCCGCGGCCCACGGAGCGCCACCTTCGACGAGTCGACGCAGATCGGGAAGAGCATGCACCGCTCGGAGACGATGCCGGTGGCCAGCAGCGGGGTGACCAACAGCCTGGCCAACATCGGATCCTCGCTGAAGTTGACGTTCGGGTAACTCCGGCGTTCCACAGACCACAGTCCATTTTTATTTTCATTTTCATCCTTCTTCTCCTCCGTTCCCCCCTCACTTTCTTACTTTGTGTCTCCTTTTGATTTTCGATTTTCGTATCATCTGAACACACAGTTTCCACATGCATTCCACGTCCACTCACCAAAGCAAGCGGATTAGTGATCCCCGTTTTTCAACTTTATCCTACGGGGCTTTTCCAGCTTTCACATCATTTGCTGGTCAAAACTTAGTTTACTAGGGATATGAATCCAAATCAATTAATCGAATTTAAGAAAGTGATCTGCAAATCTGGAAAAGCCCTATGTATTCTACTCTCTATTTATCTACCTCTCTCTAAATCCAACTCTTTTTTGTGCCACATTCGTTTTATGATTTATTTACATATATATATATATAATTATATCTTAGACGTTATTCACCCGCACGATTGTCCCTTAAGAAAGACTTGAAATTGCCCGCCAATATTATAGAAAATATATCGAGCATAAGGTAAGTGGAGACCTTTCTTAGAGATCTTCTAGACACACATACCCGAAAACTACACCCAATTGTGTGTTGTGCTGCTTTCCACAAGATCCACCTAGCATTCAATGACTAATTTATATTTACAAGGTGAAGGGAGTGATTTAAATGGTTATGTCCTAATAATAATATATAGTACATATTACATAATTTATCTTCGATTATAAATCCAAATTTTACAGTGTTATGTTTAAGTGTATTTTATTGTCCACGTAATGTCCTCTGTGAATAATTATTTTGACACATAGATTCCACTTGGGTTCCACAAAAAGTTTTCAATTTTAAAAGAAATAAAAATATAGTCCTATACATATATGTTCAATATCAATTAAAAAAATGTTTTTAAAAAGTTTTTTATAAAATCAAATTCAAATGCCTCTTTCAACATTATTTTTGTTTGTCTATGTTTATGTACTTGCATTAAAAAATAAGCAAATAATTTATGTTTAGCATTTTAACATCATAACGCTTAAATCAAGGCTGTTTATGCTGCATATATTTCTTAGCGTATTATAATAAGTGGACAGCGGCAATTAACACACATCGGAACAAGAAAACACCCACAACAGAGACCTAACCTCTTGTTTTTGTTTTGTGTTTCACATAAGTTCCACACCCCGAAATGCTGTTCCACAAAATTTCGTCTTTGGTTACGGTTACGGTTTCAAGTTAAAAGTCCCCTTCTAAATCTTCGTTGGTGGCGGGCAATTCAAGGTTTGACAAAAGCCACGCATAGCATCCACACTAACTCGAATTAATCAAACTAACGACGGCCATCCACAAGCACCGCACCACCATATATGGCAGCACCACCAGCAGTTGATTTCCTGGATTCTAAATTTTATTAAACCAAACAGTCAAAGCGAAAATCTCTTTAAAACATAATAACTTACAAAAAAGAGACAAAAAATTAAAATAATTAAAATTTAATTAAATGTAAACGTGATAAATATTACAATTACACTAGTTTCTGATGATTAAAGTTTAATTTTATAGAAGTTTTTAATGTTTTTTTTTTAATTTTTTCTTAGACTCGTTTTTCTGTTTAAAGAACTTATGCAGATAATAATACAGAACTTAAACATTGCTCATACTTAGCCACGACTTTGACTATTCTCCCTTGAAATCAGCTGTTGTTGGCTCCACTTCATTCTCGTTTCGTTGTAGATCTAATGAGTGTCCGGTGTATAGCAAGTCGATTAATTCACGATATTTGTACAAAACACAGTCCCAGCCTGACGGGCAAGAAGTCGAACGAGTTGATCCAGGGGAGCCTGAGCAGCATCAAGTCGGCGGCCAGTTCGCTGACCAAGAAGTTCGACGAGATCAAGGGCGTGATCTCGGCCAACTCGACGCCGACGAAGACGAACAACGGGCACGGCCATCCGCACCATGGGCTGCACCATCCGCATCACCATGCGCATCACCATGCGCATCCGCACCACCATCATCCGCAGGCCGGCAATCCGGAGCAGGAGGAGCACGATGCCGCCGTCCACGAGGAGGGCAAGTTGCGGCGCGTCTCCAGCGACCTGGACCCCTGGGGCAGGCTCAGTGAGTCGCGCAAGTCCAGCTACAACAACCTGGTGCCGCTGGGCGAGAACAGTTCCACCGGCGCCCTGCACATGCACGCCTTTCCCGCTCTGCCCGACAACCTCTACAGTGTGATTGGCGAGGTGAGTTGGCGGTTTGAACCCGAATTCAAACTTAATTATTACTGTTACTAGTAGAATGAAAAAGGTATATGATATTATATACTATTATACATTTATATATATATAAAAACAGAGATTGGGAACTTAAAATGCAGACGCTAGTTATGCCTAAGCAGCGCAAAAAACTTTAAACTATTTTTTGAGTAATTTTTTTTTCATTAGGTGGGCGACAGCTCACTCTTAGTGTGTAGTGTTGCCACTACAGTTCGACAGATGGCGCCACCTAAAACGGGATGAATTTTTGGGGAATATTTATTTTGAAATTGGTTAGCTGCCATTCGTCAGATGGCGCCACTCAAGCAGGATTGCATATTTTAGAAATTAGCTGAGTTACGAGTGCTTTACAGTCGTGGCACTCGAGTATAGTGTTCCTTCTTGTTCTATATACTGACGGGATAACCTTTCGATCCCCGTAGAGCACCGCGGATCGTGATTGCGATGTGCTCATCCAGCTGACGACCTGCTCGCAATGCCACAACTGCTCGGTGCTCGTCTACGACGAGGAGATCATGAGTGGCTGGACGGCGGAGGACTCCAATCTGAACACCACCTGCCACGCCTGCAACAAGCTCACCGTGCCCTTCCTCAGTGTCCAGATCGAGCGGCAGGTGGAGGAGTCAGTTCAGTTGGATCAGCCAGATCAGTCGGATCAGCCGGATCATCCGGATCAGACGAATCAGTCGGAGGAGAATGGGGGCAAGAAGGAGCAGCCAGCCAACGGCACCAGCCACAAGTCCAGCCTGACCGTGCCGTATCTGAATCCGCTGGTGCTGCGCAAGGAGCTGGAGAACATACTCACCCAGGAGGGCGACATCGCGCTGATCAAGCCGGAGTTCGTCGAGGAGCACCCGATCATCTACTGGAACCTGCTCTGGCTGATGGAGCGCATCGAGAGCAAGACGCATCTGCCGGAGCTCTGTCTGCCTGTCCCGGTAAGTAAATAATTAACTAATAATAATTAAAATACTGACTTTCCAATGAGAGTTATTAGTTTATGAACAAAATTTTAAATTAAGAGTTTAAACTTCTTAAAATAATAGCTCCTATACAAATATTGATTTAAAAGAAATAGTTTATTGCTAAATTCAAAACATTAGTTATTGATTAATAAAGTTCTGTAAATTTAGCGATTTAAAAAAGTAGTTTTTTATAGCTTATATAAGAGTTATAGAATTTATAGGCTAACTTTTTAGAACAAATAATTTTAAAATAATGTCTAAAATGTGAATAAAGTCCATTAATTCAAAACAATAGTTGATAAAGAATACTTCCATTAAATTGAGTGATTTCAAAATTAGTTTGCAGCAGTTAGCTATTATAATTATTACTATACGATTTCTAAATTAACTTTTCTGAGTAAATAGTGCCTAATATTTATTCAAATAGACAACTCAATGTTTTCTTGTCCATTTTGCAGAGCGACAAGGAGCACATTGACCCCCTGAGCAAGGTGAAGACGGTGCACATCCAGTGTCTGTGGGACAATCTCGGCCTGCACAGCGAGGCCAGTGGCCCGCCGATGTACATCCTGTACAGGGAGACCCAGCCGACGAGTCCGCTCTTGAAGGCGCTGCTCACCGATCAGGCGCAGATCAACAAGAAGTGAGTGGTTGTCCCTCGAAGTTTTGATTTTGATTTGATTTTAATTGGGAAATTGCTTTGTGTTCCATTGCAGTGTCATTCAGCAAATCATTTCGGCCATCCGGGTGAACGACTTCGCCACGCCGCTGAAGCGTTTGGCCAACGAGCGGCACAAGCTGAAGAGCAATGGAGTGGAGCGGTCGCACTCGTTCTACCGCGACATCCTCTTCCTGGCCCTGACCGCCATCGGCAGGAGCAACGTGGACCTGGCCACATTCCATCGCGACTATGCGGCCGTGTTTGACAAGCTGACGGAGCGCGAGTGCAACATGTACTACCGCAACCAGGATCTGCCGCCCTCGGCATCGACGATCTTCTGCCGCGCCTACTTCCGCCCGCTCCTGCTGCCCTGACGCAGTGGCTCCCAGCTGGTAACGGAGGAGGCGGGCGGCGAGGAAGGAGCTTCAGGCGATCCGGAAACCTAAAAGACAAGACGACCAAAAAATTTCATAAAACAAAAGAGGGAACGAAGGGAAACTTAAACGACAACAAAACGCTTATCACACACACACAGACACTTTGGGCTGGGTCGATTTTATAGTTTGGACAATGGTAAACTAATTTGACTTGGAAATCAAAGCTCTTATTAAAATATGACAAATGAAAAGGGCGGTATTTCGGAACTATTCCTAGTAGGCTATGAAAATATGATTGTTTCAAATGAAAAATATTTAATTCGAGATGTTATTATATTTTCAAATTAATAGTTTTTATATTGTCCTCATTTATTATTGTCCTCAATTTATTTGCACCCATGCCTACATTTTTAATTTCTTTTTTTCTTTCGGCCTTCCCTAAAACTGATACTAAAAAGAAAAAAACATAAACTTGACATATGTTTAATTTGTGAAAACATGCAAATGATTTTGTAAACAACTTGATCTAAACTTTTAAGTACTTAACGATTTTTTTTCGATGTTAAAACTTAATCAAATAATACACACACACATACACATGAATGACTGGTTTCTGTGACAATACATAAATACGTTCGGACAGTGCGTTTCATAGGTGTAATAGCAATGAAATTTTTAAATGGAAATGCTCAGTTTTTATTTAATACATCGAACTTACTCCCAAGTTTCTTTCTTTAATAACTGCCTTTTCTGAAACCACTAAGTTTCCATTAAGTTCGCCTTTAAAACGCATAAAGTATATTTACTTGGCCTTACTCAACTGAAATGCACCGTCTCTCCAGAAAATGAAGATGCTCCACAAGATGTGTATTCCACTTTTCATTGACCCTCGTCATATTTGCCTTATTATATATAATATAACGATACAAATTTGTGTATATACAGAGCTAAATGTGCGTCTTGTAAATCAGCATTGTGAGCGGAACCGGAATCGAAATTGGAACCTCCTCCCCTCTGAAATTACCCCCTTCACCAATCGGTTATTTCAAAAATAACCTCTACTCGCACTTTTTTATATTGAGATTTCCTCACAATGCTCGGGTTTTTTAGTTAGCTAAGCGAACTTTTCGGCGGGGAAGGGTAGTTGGGGGGCGGGTCAAGCGGTTAATCAATATCGAGGGCAGTAAAAAAGAAACAACGATTACAATAGCAATAACTAATGGATAATCGTATATAAATGTAGATGGGAGAACTCTTGCAGATCTAATTGTACCACACACATTCACGTCCACGTTTTTAAAGACAACACCCAAACACGACACGTTCACTTAAATAATGCAGCCACAGTACTTTTTTTTCGGGAATCTTAACTGAATGTATATTTAATAATTAATTTAATTAATGAAAAAAAAATCAAAAAGGGAAAAAAGAATAAACAAACAAGTTTTAAAAATAAATTTAAAATCTGTTTTTATTTATCATATTTATAAAAACAACTTAAAGGTGTTCGATTTTTAAAAATGTATTGTTATAGTAGAGGTTGGCAAATTCCAGGTAAAGTACCGATTTCTATGCTGGTGGGTTTTTTATGATACTGCCGAAATACAATAAATACAATTGTAATTTGTCCTGTACAGCCGGCGACCTATTAAATCCACCAACGGTCGATTTATAAAAATTCGTTGTTTTCATATTTTTAAAAAGCTTTTTTTGGCCATTTTTTCATTTTTGATAAGGGGATACATCATCATTTTTTGCCAAAATTTGGTCAGATTAAAAATTTTTAGCTGTGAATGCCATTTTATTAGAAATTTTATGACGAATCCAACGATGCATGACATTCTAACTTGGGACCATTATTTCCTAGAGTTTTGGTACAAAAACTGATTTTTTACCGTGGTTTTTTGGGTTTTTGGAGAATTAAGAAAATTAAACATTTCCAGAGAGTCTTTTTGATGTAACTTGGACAAAATATAACGCACAGTCATAAGAATGACTGTTTTGTACAGCTGGCGTCCAATAAAATCCATCTCGATCGATTTCTAGAAAAAATAATTTTGTTTTGGTATAAAAATCGATTTTTGAAAGCCGTTCTCTTAAAAATGCCCAAATTTCGCTTTTTTCATAAGGGGGTACATCATCATTTTTTGCAGAAATTTGAAAATCTGAAAAAATTTTAACTGTGAATGCCATTCGATTGGAAATTTTGTTACAAATTCAACGGTGTATGACATTCCACATTTTGACCATTATTTCCCAGGGTTTTGACACAAAAACCAAGTTTTTAATGTGTTTTTTGTGATTTTTGGCGATTTTTCAATCAAAATTATTTCTGAAGAGTCTTTTTGTTGTAACTTTGCCAAAATAAGACCCAAAGTCAAAAGAGTTGCTATTTTGAAGAGCTAGCAACCTATACCATCCGTCCCCGATCGATTTAAGACAATAAATTTTGTTTTGACACAAAAACAGAATTTAGAAAGACGTTTTTTAAAAAAATTATTTTTGTCCAAGTTTCTGCATTTTTTTTAAGGGGGTACATCATCATTTTTTGCCAAAATTTGGTCAGATTAAAAATTTTTGGCTGTGAATGCCATTTTATTAGAAATTTTATGACGAATCCAACGATGCATGACATTCTAACTTGGGACCATTATTTCCTAGAGTTTTGGTACAAAAACTGATTTTTTACCGTGGTTTTTTGGGTTTTTGGAGAATTAAGAAAATTAAACATTTCCAGAGAGTCTTTTTGATGTAACTTGGACAAAATATAACGCACAGTCATAAGAATGACTGTTTTGTACAGCTGGCGTCCAATAAAATCCATCTCGATCGATTTCTAGAAAAAATAATTTTGTTTTGGTATAAAAATCGATTTTTGAAAGCCGTTCTCTTAAAAATGCCCAAATTTCGCTTTTTTCATAAGGGGGTACATCATCATTTTTTGCAGAAATTTGAAAATCTGAAAAAATTTTAACTGTGAATGCCATTCGATTGGAAATTTTGTTACAAATTCAACGGTGTATGACATTCCACATTTTGACCATTATTTCCCAGGGTTTTGACACAAAAACCAAGTTTTTAATGTGTTTTTTGTGATTTTTGGCGATTTTTCAATCAAAATTATTTCTGAAGAGTCTTTTTGTTGTAACTTTGCCAAAATAAGACCCAAAGTCAAAAGAATTGCTATTTTGAAGAGCTAGCAACCTATACCATCCGTCCCCGATCGATTTAAGACAATAAATTTTGTTTTGACACAAAAACAGAATTTAGAAAGACGTTTTTTAAAAAAATTATTTTTGTCCAAGTTTCTGCATTTTTTTTAAGGGGGTACATCATCATTTTTTGCCAAAATTTGGTCAGATTAAAAATTTTTGGCTGTGAATGCCATTTTATTAGAAATTTTATGACGAATCCAACGATGCATGACATTCTAACTTGGGACCATTATTTCCTAGAGTTTTGGTAAAAAAACTGATTTTTTACCGTGTTTTTTTTGGATTTTTGGAGAAATAAGAAAAAAAATCATTTCCAAAAAAGCTTAGTCATTAGAGTGATTGTTTTGTATAGCTAGCAACCTAAACCATCTACGCCCGATTGATTTGGAAAAATCAATTTCGATTGTGTACAAAAACCGATTTTTAACAAGCGTTTTCCCTAAAATTGCCATCAAATAAAAGAGGAGTGGGTAATGTATTATTGCATATATACTATATATGTATAGATGGTTCATTGATGAAGTCGAAACGTAGCGCAATAATTAGTTTCTGAGTACTTGTTTCGCCGAACCACATATCTACAGATCTACAGATGAGTGGGTAGAGGATATGCCTAATGAGGATGGATGGGGTGACTGCGATGAGATGGGATGGGATGGGGATGAGAAGGACATACAAGTCGAACCGACATCGGAACATTACGAATTAAATCAACTTATGAGCGAATCTAGCGAAAAAAAAAGTGTCCTACTAGAAGGAAGACCCTCAATGGAGAAGGGGCAGTAGTTTCTTATCTTAAGCCTAATCCGAGAGCAACACCACATCCTCGCTGACGGTGGGTGGCTGCTTCTCCCGCTTCTCATCCTTCACATCCTTGGATTTATTCTGCGGCTTATCCCTGGGACTGCTGGTGGCGGACTCGCTCTGGCGCCGCAGGAACTGGCTGATCAGGTGGTTCTTGGTGGCCGCGTGAATCGGCTGATCCCTGGGCACGGACATGATCAGGGTGGCCCGCTTTTTGGCGCCCTGCGAGCTTGGGGTCGTCGCCTGTCCCGTGCTGGGCGTTGTGGGCGCCGAACTGGCGTTTGATGGCCGGGCGCTCGTCTCCGCCTCCGCGGGCGGACTCTGCTCGTGCTGCGGTGTATCCGTGCCCTCGTTCACTTTGGGGGTCAGCGTGTAGTCCCATTGGTTCTGCAGCGGCAGCTCCGGCAGCTGGAACTTCTCCAGCAGTTCGGGCGGCACCACCCAGCAGAGTCGCTTCTTGGGCTTCTTGGTCTTCTTGGCGGTGTTGCCACCGGCAGTGCCGCTGCCGCTGGCGACCAACTCCGTGGGCGTGCCCAGCTCGACGGTCTTCCAGCTGGCCAGCTCGTCGAACTTCTCGCGGAGCACAGCCTTCGAGGGCAGCAGCGTTTGATTCGGCGTCTGGGTTTTCAGGTACTCTAAATACTCGTTGATCAGGAACGCCTTCGAGTTGCGATTGCCGTGTGTGAGGCGCACCAGCTGATGCATGTGCCGGTTGTCCAACTGCAATGGAGCGGGCTGCTCCGGCACCTGGTCCTCGCGCTCCTGCTCGACCGGCGGTTCCAGGCTGAGCGGTTCCAGCTGCCAGCAGGCGTACATATCGATGGTGTGGGCGAAGATGGCCGGGAAGAGCTGCGACTTGTTGCCATTCTCGTCCAGCCAGACGGGCCCCAGCAGGCGGGACTTCATCTTCTTCGTCTGCTTCTTCATCTCCTGGGCGAACTCCTGCTGCAGCACCTGCAGCTTGGCCTTCTGCGCCTCCCGCGTGTGCCCGTCGTCCATGGCCCCCTCGTCGCCGTCGTTCTGCAGCTCCTCGTCGCTGAGGTGGCCATGCGGCACATACCACTCGTTGTACTCCTCCTCGGACTCCTCCTCCGACTCGCGCTCCTTCTCATCCTCGCTGGCGCTGAGCGACTCGCCCGGCTCCTCCTCCTCCCACTCGCAGTCGGAGTCCAGCTCGTAGTCGAAGTGCAGCTGGTTCAGATTCAGATTGCTCAAGTTAGTCATCTGTCAAGGGATCGAAATCGAGATCGAGATCGAGCTCGAGTGAAATGCCTACCTTATCCTGGGCCAGTGGGCGGCGAGCGGAGATGGTGGTGCTCTTCTTGCGCCAGGTGCCATAGTAGGCCGGCCTTCGGTTGTCCGCGAACTGCAGATACTTGGCCCGCATCCTGGCCAGCTGCTTGGGCTGCTCCTCCTCGATGGGCAGGCCAGCATTGGACAGGTCATCTATGCAATAAGGGTTGTTAAAAAGGGGGTTAAGCTGACATATTGGGTTCATATGCCGGGGAGACCCACCTATCACTTGGACCTCGTCCTCCTCCTCCTCGTCCTTGGTGCGTCGCTGGAGTCTGGCATCGCGGAGCATTTTCAGGGGCTGCCTTCGCCCGCTGCTCAGTTCGCTAAGGTAGAGATGGGCTCGATTAAGGGGTCTCCTTCTGCCAAAGTCCTCCTCCTCCTCCTCCTCCTCGTCATCATCATCATCGTCGTCTTCGTTCCTGTGCCGGAAGAGAGTGTCCAGCTGGGAGCGCTGCTTCTGGGCGAGGGATCCCCGCACAATGGGGGCCAACAGCATGTCGTCCTTGATCTGGAAGGGTCGGAAGGCCAGCGTCTGGCTGCTGACCTTGGAGCTGTCGCAGCTGCTCTGCTCGTGCTCCAGACAGGAGGTGTTGTGGGTAGATCCAGCGCCGCCCGCTTTCGGCTGCTTGGGCACAAAGAACTTGGAGAAGGATTCGGCGGCGCGCTTCTTCTTTTGGGCCGCCTCCTCGCGTTCCTGCTCCTTTTTGCGACGCTCCTCGTCCCGCTTGCGCTGCACCTCCTCCTTGGCCTCGTTGCGCTTGCGCTTCTCCTCGTTCTTGGAGTCCACCTCCGCCTGCCGCTTGCGCTCCTTCTCCTCCTTCTCAGTCCTGCGCAGCTGCTCCTTCTGGTCCTTCTCCAGCTTGCGCTGCTGCTCCTTCTCGTCACGCTCCTGCTTCCTCTGCTGCTCGCGCTCCTCCTTCTCCTGCTGCTTGAGGCGCCGCTCCTCCGCCAGCTTCTGCTCCTTCTCCTCGCGAGCCTTCTTCCGACGCTCCATCAGTCGCTGCTGTTTGGGCGTGAGTGTCTTCTGCGCATTGCTGCTGGTCTCCTGCAGGCTCTTCCTGTGCAGCAGACCATCTTTCTGCACGTCCGTGTCCACATCCATCTCGTGGTCGCTGCTGCTGCTGTTGTCCTCGCTGCTGGAGAGGATCACCGAGATGTCGGCGGCTATGGATGATTCCTTGTCGGGTTTTTCTCGTGGCGAAGACTCTACTGTCTTCGGTTTCTCTGGAACTGAAGGCTCTTCCTTCTGGGTTTTCTCCTTTTCTACAGCTTGTGCTTGTGGTTTCTTCACCAACTCCTTTTTCTGGGTGATCTGCACATTCTTCTTGTTGGTTTCTTCTTTTTGCGTCTTTGCAGCTGCGTCTTCTTGCTCCTTCTGCAACTCTGCTGTGCTGGCTTCCACATCTTCTTTCTTGTTATTTCCCTCCTTCTTGGACTTCCCCAAGACCTTTGTTGTGTCCTTCTTTGTGGCTTCTTTCGCCTTGGCATCCTCTGATCGGGGTTGATCTTTCTTCTTGCTCTTCTCTGTGGTCTTCAACTCCGGCTTCTCTTTCTTGCCGCTCTCCACTTTCTTGGCCATAAAGAGATCTATCGTGGACTGGTCGTTCTTCTTGTGGGGTTCTTCCTTGGATTCCTTTGATGCCTCCTTGGGCTTCTCCTGTTTCTTAACCTCGGGGCTCTTTTCTGGGGACTGATCCACCGCCACCGCCACCGCCCCCGCCACTGTCTCCTGCACTTTAAGCTTCTTCTGGGGATTTAGCTCCTCGGATATGACTTCTATATCATCGCTGGACTCGCTGCCCGTCTTGCCCGCATCCTTGGCCGGAGTGTCTTCGCAGTCCTCGGACTTCTTCAGGGATTTCCGGCGTTTGGGTCGTTTGCCGACCAAAGGCAGCTTGATTTGTATGGGCGTTGTCGAGGCTTTCTTCGCCTCCGACTTCCTGGGCTTTGGCCTGGTCTCCTTCTCCTTCTCCTTCACCGCCTGCTGGTCGTGCTCCTCCGCCATGGCCTCGTCGTCATCGTCAATTAGCTCGATGACATTCTCCGCCAGGGAATCCACGTCCATGGCAGCCGGCGCAGTCTTGACCTTCTTGGTGGCTATGGTGCTGCCCACATCAAGGTTCTCCTTGCTGTCCGCGGAGCAGCCGGTGCCCTCCAGTGGCGACTCATCGCCGTACGACAGCTTTCGCTTGCGCGGAGCGGGATCGGTATCCTCGTCGTCATCCAGGATCACAGTCGCGCTGGGTCCGCTGGCGGAGGTGGAAGCCGATGGAGAGGCAGTGGCGCCTGTGCCACCCCCAACACCACCACCACCACCACCTGGTGTAATCAGCTTGAAGGGCAGACGCGTCTGCACGAATTTCTTGCCACCGCTGGCCGTCTTCTCGGCGGATTTCGCCACGGTGGTGACGGTGGCATCCTTCGTCCTGGCGCTGCTCGGGGTCTTCACAATGCCGGAGGGCATTCTGCTGCTGTCCTTTGTCCTGTGTCCTGTGTCCTGCCACTCGCTCCGCAAATCCCCAGCAAATCCTTCAGTTGCAGTTGTTTTTAGCCGACGAGAAAAGGCGCTGAAAACACACTGGCGATGGGAGTTGTGGGCGCGGATTGGCGCCAATAGATTGCTCGCGATCTATCGGCGCCATATGGCTGCTGCAGTGTTGGCAAACGCTCGAAAATGGTGAATAGCTCTGCTTAATAGCATTACACTTTCAAAATACATATATTTGCAGGCAGACATTTATAATTCTATCTGGCTAACAAGATTGTGTTTTATCTTTAAACTTGAGTCAAAAGATTGATCATATTAATAGATCCGTCTTCTAAATGCCAACATTAGTTCTAATCGCAGCTATAGCTATAATCAACTGTGATCGCCTTAAACTGAGAACAGTTGGAACAGTGTTGGGTGCGGAGGGTGAGAAACTTGGCTTCCTTTTTTAAATACATATATTTTCTATAAGCATTTTAAATTCTGTATTGTTTAACATTTTATATTTATCCTTTCAAATTCAATTTCCTTAAGCAAATCAATTACTTCAGATTAGTTGCATTTGTAAGATAAGTTCTAATCATTTGTGATCGCCTTAAACTGAGAACAATTTGATCTTAGTGCAGACTTAAGCCATGGTAAGAAACTTTACTAACGACTTGGCTCACTTATTTAAACATCGATCAAAAATAAGGAAAATAATTTAAATATAACAATAAACTTAATTTTCTTACCTTTTTATTATTTCAATTATTATTTTTCAACAAAATTGTGTTTATTTTTTAATGGAACTTTTGTTTTTTTTTTATCAAACCATTATTTGTTCATCATATATCAGCATCAAATTAAAAATGGTTAGTGATTGGGAAATTTACACTTAAAATAAACAAAACCATATTGTCTTTTATCCATAAGCTGCTTATAACTCTTGCAAGCCTCCACTCATATTTATATGATTAATTAGATAATAGCGTTTCTTGAATATTTCTGCAAGCCATCAGCCTGATTGGGTTTGTCGTTATTGTTACTTTTGATCCAGCTGACAGATATTCGCCGACTGATGAAAATTGTTTACTTAGTTTAATGTGGCATTTTTACTAATCCGGGATAAGTGGAAAAATGCTTGCGGCCAACAAAGTCCCCAGTTTTCACAACCCCTGACCCCTGACCCTTTCCACCTGCCACCTCCCGAATCGGTTGACATGGTGACCCCGAATAAACCGAGATCCCGCCTGCGGCTTCGATTCCCTGCGCCATGGAATACATTCATTTAATTACAATTTGTTTCAATGGAAAGACACGCACACACATCAAAGCGGCACAGGCACTGATTGCAGAGCAATCACTCATTGAGCACACATTTATTTTAGTTGGCGATTGAAGCCGGTGCACGGGATTTAGTTCTCCGATGCTGCATAAAAAAGTAGATTTAACTAACCAAAATACAAAATAACTACCAAAATACAACTTAAATGTTATCATAGCATTAAAAAAGCATAACATTTATTTGTATCTGCTTTTACAATAAATTCCTGAGATGCATACTATTTTTTACATTTCTCTTGAAGGACATTTTTTTTTTTAATAGAAGTCTATGGAAGCTTTCGAAACATGTAAAATAAAAATAAACAATTATAATAGTAAGAAATATCAATTTTTATACTTAAAATTTGTATTATTTGTATTTAAACATAAGTCCCCCTTTTAAAATTACATTTAAATAGCAACATAATTTATAAGTTGTTAACTTGATTTGCTAGGAACATAAAATAAACAACTAAACAAAAATACGAAGATTTGCGTTTTAACGAATAATATTTGGACTTCAAAAGTGATATTTTTGAAAACGTAAATGTGAAATACGGGCTGCAGATCTTGGCCACTAATACTGACATGTGCAACGCCCACGAGTGCAGACAAAGAGATACAAAACACGCAGATACAAATTGCGGTCGGAGCCTGTGGCTTTTCAACAAACAAAAAAAAAAAAAAAAAAGGGGGCGGCGAAATAGACACGATGAAGTGGGTTGGACATGTGGCTTATTATTCGCATTGGCCGGGATTTGCCATCGCCATATCGACTCCTTTAATAATGATAATAATAATAATGCCGCATCGATTCCGCTGGGACCTTTGGCTTTGGCCCGAGTTTCCCGGATGAGACGGGGCGTAAAATGGGAATTCGGTCATGCGTGTGAACGGGTGCGGTGACGGTGACGGTGACGGTGAAGGCGATGGTGCGCCGCCCTTCCCGGTAATAGAAAATCTATTAGCGCTCGCAAAATACCCCTCTCCTCCTACCATCCCCTTCCCTCCCCTTCCACCTCTACTCCCCGCGGGGGGTGGCGTAGAGCCAGGGACGGGCGGGCTCAAAGGGGGCGGTTCGAGCATCCCCTTGATGACGCGAAAAGAGGCCAAACACTTTGAACATTTCGTAAACAGATTCAGCTTTGATTCCGAAAATGTTTCGGGTTACAAAAACGTCACTTAGTTCAGAGGTAACAATTTTGAAACTTGGCCTATATTTGCCTTTTACAACTAAGAATCCACTATTAGATTTATTATTAAACTTAAAAAGTTTATACAGGGTAAATAAATATAAACAAAAACTGACTGAATGTTTTAAATTATAAATAAAATAAATAGTTAAAATAGTTTTTAAAATTGCGTTTATTTTTTGCAAACAAAATATATATTTATGTTTGATCAACCTGATTTTGGATTTGATTTCTAAATGTTATTAAACTTGGGCTGTCAAAGTTAATATAATTGGTTTTGATTGGTTTTAGAGAGTATTTAGACATTTGTATGAGTTGTCAGAAAAGTTAAAGTTAGTTAATGGTGAAATTTACCCTTATCTGAACCTGTTTTGTTTTGAGTGTATCAAGTAAAACCTAAAACCGGAGCACAGTGCAATGGACGAATAAAAGTGCAGACAGGCGAGGTGAAATTAGAGACCTGTTGGCGTGAAGCGTGTATGACATGACTGTCAGACTGACGGGATGACGTACCTACAGACTGACAAACTGACAAATTGACAGTCTGAACACCTGTAGAACATATGCAACCAAAAGAAAAACAGTCAACTTCGACAGCGATTAAAATTCTATTAATACATATATATATTTTATTGAGGGTCTCACAACCCAATTAATTAATAATAATAGAAAAATGTTATCTTGAAATTCCCTAAGTAATAAGCTTACTTAAAATAATAGCACATATAAGTACATATAATTTTAATTTTTAAATATATTTTTCATAAACTATGTCAGCCAACATATTACAACTTACACAATAATAATAATTTTCATTTGGAAATTTGATATATTTTTATCTTTTATGCAACAAAATCCGGTCCTTGTTTACTTCTTCAGGAGCAACAAGACCACCATGTCCCTTACATCAATCGCAGTTTGTATTGTATTTAAGTAATTGGAGGGTAAAATGTGTTTCCAATTTGTTGTACCTTTGCTGGCAACATTTTCCCCCAATTTTTCTTACTCTCTGTTCTTACTTATTGGTACACTAAGACAAAAGTTTTGTTTTTAAAACTGTGTTCATTTGTGGCAAATTGACATATCTAGTATTATGACAATAAATAAAATGTTCCATAACAAATAAAGTTTTAAGTAAATGCGATGATTAAAAAAACACTATTTTAGTAAGGATTTAATACAACCTTTTTTTTTAGAAAAATTTTCCCAACTCGTTTTTTTTTTTGAGTGTATAGCAGTGAGTGTTACAGTGAGCGGGAAAAGTAACCGGCAACGGCAACAAGATTGGAAAAGTATTGAATTACATTTATACAACATTTGGTTGAATAGCTTCTGTCAGGGGGTGGTGGGTGGTGGGAGTGGCTGAAGGGCGGTGGGCGGTGAGCGGTCGAGTGTTGCGGTTTGAGTTTCCTTTTGTTGGTCTGGTGGGTGGTTTTTGGGTGGGGTTCGCGATTAACGTGAATGCCTCTCCAGCGCCCATTCTCCACCTCATTTTCTTTCTCTGTATATTTGTGGCTTCCTTGGGTGTCTGCTTAAAGTACACAGCAAAAAAATGAATATTTTAGACTTGATGGCGTTATATATTTTCATTTATTTCTCATAAAGCCATAAGTTATGTGATGAATTCTTAATAAAATAAGTTAGTCTTATAAATAATTGAATAAGCAAAAATACTTCGATTATTATAATTGAATAAATTTAAATCTGTTTTTAAATTGACCATAAAATGCATTAAAAATGTGTTATATTAAATTAATTTAATTAATTATCTTTAGTAAGCTATTTAGTAACAATGTTTTTTAAGGAGGATTTAATATAAGGCGATGGAACTTTGTATTCAAAAAAAAGGTTATGTTTTTGTTAATTTGATAAATTTAAAAACACAAACTTAAGAACGTATTAAAATTATTTGCCGTGTATTAAAAGGAACAGGGAATATCGAAACGGAACAGAAGTGAAGTGGGCCGAAGGTCGATTCCCGCAGGAATCGCTGTGAAAATTCATTAGTTGCCCATTTTCATGCTATTTTATTTCAATATAAAAGACGCACGCATGCATGCATTTAGTTTTCCATTCTTTCGCCACTACTGCCCCCTTCTGCCCCTCTCCCACTCTCCCACTCTTTCCACCGCCGCCCCTGCTTTATTATGCCGTTTGACGCAGCGGACACGCATTAAAATTGTAACAGCCAGAAAGGAAAGGGAATGACAGCAGCCCATGGGCGGGGGCGGTGGTCCGAAAAGGCGGAAAGGGGGCGGGGCGGATCGGCCAGGTAGTTGCGACAACGGCAGCCTGAGAAAGTGACAGGTAGTGCTGCCAAAAATCAACAAAAACTATGGTTAAGTCAAGGAGAAATATTAGATGAATTTATAGGCAATCGTTTTTTATTTATTTTATTTTATTTAATTAAACTAAATTAATTAAAAATCAGATCCATCAAAAATAGATACCCTAATCGCAATATAAATTACACATTTGTAATATAATTTAATATAAGACTAATAGTTTTAAGTTATGGTTATCTTATTTAACAATAGGTAATTTATTACGTTTTGTAACTTTTTGATATGGTGCTTTAAAAAGTAATTTCTGAAACTAAGAGACTCT